GTCGAAAACCTCCGGTTGACTGATGCGCGACTGCACCGATTCCATCTCCACATCGGGAATATATCTTTCACATGATCTAGTAGGCTTGATCCTTTGGCTAGGGTAGATCGCTTCATACGCTCGTTCCTGTTGGTCTTGGCGAAAACGTTCCATGGCCTCATCGATATGTCTGCAGGAGTCCTTGCGTAGTAGTCCTCATCTGCTCTTTAGCGCCTGTGGCCTTCGATCGCGAGTTCAGCTTAAACGACTCGACTCGATCGCGTAGATCTGTTGCACCACTTGGGCCTAGAGACATTCGCTGGATGCCGACGGAATCTTCCGACTCCATCTCTGATTACGACGAGGCATATTGTGACGATCCGGTTTGATACCCCCTTGGAACATCGACGATCGTTGCAACCGCTTGATCCGCGGATATGCACTTCCACGTCAGAGGTATTAGCTTGTCATGCAGAGATCGACACGCATGAGTCACCTGATCCTGATCGCATTCCAGCGATTTGTTCGCATCGAACGCCCCAGCGACGTATCCAGCATCTTGCAGCAGCTGGATGATCGCGCTGGTCCCTTCTACAGCGTTAGTCGCCACCTTCGGTCAAGATATCGGGCCTTGTATCTCTTCGATTAGCTTAAAATTCAGTTTCCATATCACGGGGTCGCTCAAAAGCAGATTTTGAGCGCCTTTCAATAGAACCCCTGCGCCAGTTGATCCAACCGCCAGCCTTCCATCTTCATCTCCAGAGCATCGTCCACGACCGTGATCGGTCTCACGATTAATATTTCGCCGCGATCGTGTCGATCCAGTCTGGACTCTTCTTTCTTTACTCGATCTGTCTTTAAAATCGTCTTCTTCTTAGACATTGCCTGAGTGGTCTTGTGTAGCTTTTGTTCAGTTTTCGCTGAAGGGTCTTCACCCAGCGGATCGTTCTTTGTAGCACGATCCGCAGTGGTCCCCGAAGGGACCTCAGGACGGGTTTGGGGTCTATCTTCCAGATCGATCGATCGATCGTCCTCTTTTAATTTCTTGTCATCAGAGCCCCTCCCAAAACTCTGATAATCCGGGGATCCCGTAAAATTTTGCGTCGGAGGCAATCCCTTTGCCTATAACGCTTTCATCCAAGGTACAGTCTTGACTTTCACTTCTTCACTTAGGGACTCAAGGTGAAATCCCGAGTCACCAGAAGATCCGGGCACGCGCACTTTTGTAGTGGAGTGGCGATCGCTCATTTTATAAGTCGATCCCAACTCTTTACTGGCACCCAGACGACCGACTAACGGAGTGGGTACTCCGATTCCGTGTGTGCTTCCTTCATCACCTTGTGTACCCGTCGGTAGGGCGGGTTGCACTCTTCCAGGTGGACTCGTGTCGAAGATAAACTTGACCGTGTTAAGGATGGGGTTGTGATCGTGCGGAAATCTTCACGCGATCACGGGGTACTTGTGGGTACTGATATCAGTTACCCTGATCTCAACGGGATCGTCTTGTCCACTATGTGGTTGCTTGATCCGCGAGCCTTCTGACCACTTGAGCCGTTTCAAGATCTTGCGCCTTGCCTTTACGTGTCTTGCTGCGTCCGATCGCAGTTGATGTTGTTTGAAAGTTCTTGATTACACCTGGCCAAAACAATCTAGGTTTGACACTTACGTAGACGTGTAGCGCGAGTCTTTGTTCGACAAGGGCCAAAGATCCTACCCGGAAGAGATAACTTGTGCCTTGTGAAGTAATTTGAACTCTGTTTATTGTTTACTAACCAACATAAACCCTACCCCTATGCCCATCCGTATATCCTAACCAGATGCCACGCGTCGCCTTTCCAGGAAAATCGTCCCCTCGCATTTGTGTGATCCACTCCCAGTGTATCAGCAGTTATATCTTCTTGTGTCCCACCCAAGATATCCCCATGATCCTGCTAGCGGATCGTGGTGATCTTAATAGTGGATCGTGATCCTACTAGTGGATCGTGATCCTACTAACGAATCGTGATCTTACTAGCGGATCGCAGCTGAGATCGGACTTGCGATCCTGGGTTAGGCTCGCGGTCTTACAGTGAGATCCACGGTCTTGTCTTGCCATGTCTCACGACGGAGTGCGTAATCAAAACGGAAGTGACCACCCTATAGCCTCGTCCCAGGCTGTACGATCCTGTCCACAAAAGGTTGCGTGCGCTATTGCCAGCCACCCGTCCCGTCCTGTATCCACCAATAATAGCATTCTTGGCTTAACTGGAGCGTGCGATCCGTGCGATCGCCGAACCAAGTCCCAATAGAAATTTCCTTGTGACCGCTTTGCCACACAGTCATACTTAGTGCGCTTGAGCTCAGCAATCCGCACGAGTGTCGACGTCCTTGGGTCTTCTTTCGCCTGATCTTCGAATGCCACTGCCAGGTCTACAACCGACACCGAGCGTGTGGTGTGGTTGTATACCTGCAAGTCTGGTCTCAATGCAGGCCCGGGGAGCGAGGGTACTGTTTGGTTAACCCTCAGCTCGACCCGGTCCGTTCGGTCCTTCGCCGACGACACAACAGCACGCTCAATGATCTTGAGGGCCTCGTCGTGGCGGCCACGCACTGCGTCCATCGTCCCGGCGCAGTGGTGGAGCACATGCGCCAGCGTCTCAGAGAGGAAACAACCAGGAAACCTGCACTTGTCATGCGACCGAAGACGCCCGCGCTTCAGGACACAGTGCGTGTCGAGCTGGTTGAGACGACCACCCACCGCGAAGCGGTAGTCGCTCTCCCATAGCCCTCGGGGCCGCGATAAGAAGGCGCTCCCAGCATCACCAAGGGTGCGAGCAACCTTGCCTTGATCCTTCATCGCGGCCCATCGCTGTTAGTGCCTGTTCTTGAGGTGAGGCTTCACGTGCCGATGGACATCCCGATGGTCCAACCAACCAGCGTCGTAGGGCACGCGAAGCTGCAACCTCTGCGCCGGCGTCCCCGTCTCCTCCACCGCTGACGCCATCTCAAACTTGAGGCCGAAGCGGTGAAGGTGACCCCGGACGTCGAACCACAGCGACCCAATGTCAGCATTCCTTCGCTTGGGCGGTGCTGGGTCCGACGTCCCCAGATTGCTGTTGAGGAGGAGCTCGCCTAGCTCATCCTCTCTGTCCCTCCATGCCAAGGCGTCCAGCTTGTATCCTGATTCAGCAATCTGACGGAGCTGCTGGCGAGCTATGCGCTGGATGGCAGTGTCAGGAGAGTGCAGCATCTGCCACCCATGCGCAACTTGCAAGGCGCCATGCAGCTCCGTCAAGGGTAAGAACCCTAATCCACCACGAGAAACAGGAGCGTAAAAGAACGCCGTCGTGGCGCTAGTGGGTAGCCGTAGCAGGTGTCGAAGGCCGCGTACAAGATGACGGTCAAAAACCTCCAGCTGCTGAGCAAACGACCTCAGGTGCCGGAGGGCGTACTCAACCCGAGGGTACAAGTACACCTTGACCGCCTTGACCACCTGCCACGGCGCCAGCCCGGACTGCATCAGCACCGTCGCATCGTGCTTGAGCTGAGTGAGCGCTGGTGCAAGCTAAACGCGACGGCGCACGTGGTCGAAGCCATCCGCAATCCCCAAGTATTGGTATGAGTCGGAGGCGCTGAGCGCGGGGATCGGGGGAGCCGTCGAGCTGCAGCCGGAGGTCGCTGGTCCGGTGAAGACCACGCACATCCCGCTGGACCGACAGGGTAATGCAATTGTGCGGATTCGCCTTCGTGCCGGTCCAGCGCAGGAAGTCGTGCACCACCGAGTGCTGATGCTTGATACCGTCCACGGTGCTGCTGAATGTCTTCAAGACGTCTGCGTAAGCAGCAGCACCGGGACGGGCTTCGCTTGACATCTTCACGCCAGTGTCCGGCAGCGACTTGAGCGCGTGAAGCAGCAGGGCAATCGCGGCAGTAAAGAGATGGGGGCTGAGTGGGCAGCCTTGAAACACCCCCACCTTCAACGCGATTGGCGCCGAGGTCCCATCAACAGCGTTACCAATTGTAAACGCTGCGTCTGCGTAGAGACCACGGCAAGAAGCGACAAACTTGGTCAAAACACCCTGCTGTTGTAGCGCTTCCCATAGCAAGTCGTGTGGCACGCTACCAAAAGCGTTGACAAAGTCGTACCACACGACATGCAACTCTTGATGCTTGCGCCGGGCTTGGTCAACGAGCATGGCTGCGAGGAGGTTGTGTTCCCCGCAGTCGTTCATGGCTCGAAGGCTTTTCTGCGCTTCAGCGTGGCGGCCATTGACTTCGAGCCAGCGCGTAAAGCGACGCGACAAGACACCGGCGTACAACTTGTAGATGGCCTGCTGCAAGCAGATCGACCGCCAATTCGATGGGTCGAGCCGATCGCCCTTCTTGTGCAGCAGGCGCACCACGCCAATCTTCCAACTCTGCGGCACACGCTTGGACTGCCAGCAGCGCGCGAACGCTGCGTGTAGAGCGGGCAGAAGCTGGGCCGTGAACATCTTGAAGATGTCGTAGCCGACACCGTCCAGGCCGGGGCTTGAACTGCCACGCGCACGCTGCACTTGGTCATCGATCTCCTGTGACGACGGCGCATCCGTGAGCAGTGCCATGTCAACGGTTGCTGGCGGCAGGCGGTCCATGGCCGTGCGGAATGCAGCACCTACCGGTGCCATGGGGTCAAAGGCACCTATCGGGGTGTTCACCACCGTGAAGAACTGGTGCAGGGACTCCCCTTGAATGGGGCAGATGCCTTCTTCCACGTCCACGCAGTCCGGCGGAGGTGCAGTGGTAGCGGATGGCGTGGCTGCAGCCTCATCTGTATCGCGCTTGGACCGAGCCGTCGCCAGGATGCTCTCAACACACACCTTCTCATCGGTGCCGTAGAAGTGGCGGAGGCCGTGTTGCTCTAGGAAGGAGTGAATCCTCCCCACACGGCGACGTGCCTTAGCCACAACCTTGCGGTTGCCCGGCTCGCTGCGCTGGACAGCATGCATGTCGTCCAGAGCCTCGTCAAGCCGGTGCTCACGGTGATGACGTGTCACACGGGGCGGACGCGTGCGCCAGCAACCCTTGTCACCACCAGAGGGACCATGGCGACGACGTGGACGTGGACGGCTGCCACCTTGGCGCTGACCGTCGTGCGGAACGGCCTGCGCTTGGCCTTGGTGCGGCTCCTTCCGGCGCTGCGAACGAGGTTGGGCGGGGTGCTGTGTCTGGGAGTAAGGCTGCAGGTGATCGTACAGTACATAAGGGAGGGCTGTGATGTAGCCCTCTGCCTCCTCCCAGTTATCAGCGTCCATGATCTTGGCAGCTAGCTTCGCAGCTAGACGCTTCACCAACCTGAACGCAGCCTCTTGCTCGTCCTCATCCAATGCGCGAAGGCGCAGACGCAACCGGCGCTGAGGCACAGCATCAGGCCCCACACGCATCGCTGCATACACCTCACCATCATCGATGTCCCCCATGTCATCATCATCGGCGGGGCTTGGGGGGACATCGGTGCCCACCGCGCCATGCGGTGTGGCAGGCGGAGGTGCAGCTGCGGATACAGGGGGCGTCGTGGAGGTTGAGGTGCATCCATGTCCATCGGTGTGCACCCCGCACTCCAACTCGGTCGCGAGGCGGTCAAGAGCGGCGTTAACGAGGCGGTCGGCATGACCATTCGCCTGCCTGTCGATGGGGTGAAGCGTTGCCCGCTCCATCCGCACCAGCTCTGCCTTGACTGCGAGTCGCAGGTGCCTCAGCCGCTTGTTGCGTGTGGAAAAGATGCCACGCACCTGCTGGATGACCCGTGTGCTGTCACCCTCAACCCGCAGGCACGTGACTCCGTCGTCGGCGGCAGACCTTGCGCCGACCAGAAGCGCCGTATATTCAGCGGTGTTGTTGGTCTCGCTACTGTTCGGCATGTAGTGGGAGCATGCCCACACTACGGGGCCGATGGGCTTGAACAGCACAGTGCCGGCGCCGCCTAGGCCAGGGTTCTTGCGGCAGGCACCGTCGAAGCGCAGTAGCCACTTGCCATCACCCTCTTCAGCTTCGTCCTCGTCGTCGCTTTCACCTGCCTTGGTCTCCTCCCCCTCCGTTAGCTCTGGCGGGAGCAGATGGTCAGCAATTCTTGACACCACCACGCCGCAAGGCAGTGGTGGTCCCCAGCGAGGGGCGGAGACATCGCCGAGGCGAGACGCAACGCGAAAAGCGACCAGCTGCCGTGGGAGCGGCGGGCTCCATCTTGATCTGTCAGACGTGGTGCTCGACTGCGGAGGGGACACAGCGAGCACGGGACGGTATTGGCGGGCAAGCACGGGCTCGGTGTCGGCCAACGTAGCGGTGGCACTGACTGCACCAGCAGTGGGGCTGAGATCACCTGCTGCTGATGCAGTCGCGGCCGAAGTGTCGCGGAGGCTTGCACACGCGCGAGCGTGGTTAGCTGCAGCCAGCCTCGACACGAAAGGCGTGCCGCATGGACAACCTGCCGGAAGTGCTCAAGGAAGGTGATGCGGCAGTGCCGTGGATCCCGGTATCGCTTGAGCGAGGCAAAGCTTGAGGCCGTGTATGCACACAGCGTGCACGTGAAGCGCTGCGCGTTGTGTGCATACACGACCAGGACGGAGGCCGGAAGTGTGCTGGCCGTGGATGGCCAAAGCGCTGAGTGCTTGGGGCCGGCCTCAACTTCCTCGAGCAGCATTCGCTTGGCTTGCTCGCACGGGTCGTCGTCGCCGTCATCGCTCAAGCGGCGACGCTTGCCGCCGAGGCTGAGCATGAGAGGAAAGGACGGCGGAGTGTGGCTTGCTGCCTGCCACGTCGCGCACTGGTCAATTACCATAGGGACGGCAGCGGTCGTGACAGGAGCCTGTGCATCACCGGCAAGCAGCATGCTACCCGCCCTGCCAGTTGTGCCATCATCAACTCGAGGGCAGGGCCCAGCAGACAACACGTCTCCGCAAGGAATCGGAGCGTCAAAACCGGCTCGGTCAGGCAGTATGAGTGTCTGCCAGTCGAGCCGGTCGTCACAGGTACGTGAGACATCAACAACATCATACAAAATTGTTGTAGTGGACAAGCCTCGTAAGCTTTGGGGGTCGTGTCTATGTTGGTGCCGTGGCCACTGCAGTGTTTCCAGCTCGGGCAGGCAGCTCCGTAACTACCAGGCCGATCCGTTTGTAATCACTTGGGCGGGCGGTGGCAGCGTCGTTGTCCATCGAGGAGGTGTCTTGGTCGTCCTCTTCTCTGCTGTCGTCCTCGGGGTCGCTGGGGCCATAGGAGGCAACCAGGTCGCGAGCCGTTGTGGCTGCAAGCGCTGCCCATAATTGACCCGGTGGGGCGGCAGAAATGCTGCCCCACCGGGTCAAGAAACAGCAGTCACGGGGTCTTGGGCATCGACGTAGTCCTGGCCGGCGAGTGGGAGGGTGGGGGGCGTCATGTCGCGCGTCGGCGTACCCTGGTAGGGCATCTGTGGGTCCGGAGAGCCGATGCTCTGAAGTAGTCCTGGCTGGACCCGGTCAGGCAGCATACCGCTCACCCTGCCGGGCCCACCATCATCAAATGTAGTGGCTTGGGCCTCTCCCACGTCTGGGAGGGCGCTCCGCAACGTGTCGTGGTCCTTGATGCACATCTTGATATCCGAGGGCCGCATGCTTGCGCTCGGGGAGCCGTCGCTCTATAGTCCTTGGCCTGCGTGGCCCGCTACCCCATCGGGCAGCATGCCGCCCGCCTGCCGGGTAAGAAGACAAACGCACGGGAGTTTCGGAGGGCGGCGGCGGTCGAGCAGGCACGTGGAGACACTGTCGAAGCCAAACGGCGCGCGGAGGAAGAGGAAGGTGCTCTCGTGGCCTCTGCAGGGCCGGCGGAGACGATACCATCTTGGGCCGAGGAGTCTTGGGCGTTGTTTTGAATGTTTTCTTGAATAGCGGCGAACCCTATACTGAAGTCAAGTACATCGCCGAAGGTACCTTCGCTGGTACCAACGGGGGGTCGCCGGGCCTCTTTCCGATCTATGATGGCACCCAAAATCGTTGCCGGAGACCGGGGGACCTCTCGCGCGCGATATAGAGACCTCTGCGTGCGCGGAAACTTGGTAGGCATTGAGCGATGCGGGTTCTAACCCGTGCCCGAAGTTGCGGCGCCTAACTCCGCGCCACCGCCGCGAGTGTAACTCGCGGCGGTGTAACGGGGTGAAATGTTACATAACAATTTATAAGAAATTGTTTATAGAATATAGCTGAAAGAGTTGTATTCTCAGAATATTGTCATAAGGACAATATTCTGCAGCATTTACGAGTAGTTCCTAATTGGTTGATATAGGCCATTATATCAACCAGCGAAGACGCGCCGCGACAGACGCACGCAATGAGTAGCGAGCAGATAGTTGATACACACATATGTATTTAGACATAGCTAGATGATGATAAATAGTGATTTATTGCAGACATTAACTATGATAAGTACAGTTCTACTTTTTCCTTTAACCAAGTACTTGTTTCTTCTTACCGTCTTCTTCTGCACGTACCAGTGTACGGGAGGTTACGCGGCACCGCCTTATTCTGTCATCAGAATAAGTAGATTGTACTGTCATCAGTACAAGCTTGAGGGTGCCCCGTTACAGCGAGGCGATGGCGCGCGTAGACGCGATCGGGGCCCATTTTCGGGCCCCAAAAGGGAATTAGTGGAGGCACGAGTGTGTACCCTTAACACTAGTCCGACGGCAACCGTTCCCATGTAGTTTCGTCTCACCCGTTCCTCAAAGAAGGGCGACGCACTTTCTGGGAACAGTCTCAAATCAGACCACCCCGCCTCTCCGCCAGTGACCAGTTGCGTGTCACTTGGGAGAGGGGGTATTCCGCCTGATTCCACGCCAGTCTCGTCATCAGCTGACGCGTCATAGAAAGGCGCATCGCTGACGAGACTGGAATGGCTGTCCGTGGAGCACTCAATATCACTAGACAGAGAGTGCTCCCGGGGCTACCAATCCAGCCACCAGAAGCGCATGGGGATGCGTTGGTGTAGAGCTGGTGCAGAGGACAGAAAGGCGAAAGAAAAATCGAACGAAAGATGTAACGAACGAACGATAAGTATAAAAGAAGCAAGTTTATTGTAGTCGGCCTCATCGAGGGATAAATGTAAGCCACTCGGTGACCTTCCTGAAAAAGTATCACTACTATAACAGGGTGTCCAAAAACGAATGTGAAAAAGACCGACAGAAGTCGGAAACCAGTTTTCACACTGATTCGAACAGATACTACACTTGATCTTTGCTAAAAGGCCGAGATGGTATGGCTTGAAAGCAATACAGAGGACAGAGTGCAACACTGTCGATACAATAGCGAATGTTGACAATAGGAATTTGAATGTTACATCAAATCCGAAATGCGAAAGTGATATTCCAAACAACGAAATAGGGCAACAAATACTAGGAAAATAACTTTAGTTTTTGGTGCTGCATGCATGTATGTCGATAGTGTGTGTACGTTGTGAATGATGTAAAGCAATTCAAGTAGAAGAGCAAATCTCGTTATCAGGACCACAAATGTCCAAATGTCCCAAAATCAGGGCTTTAGTTTAATCAAGTCTAAATTTATCTATTTTATGCTTGGGTTGAGTATGCAAACTAGCATAGTGTTAGCCACATTATACTCAACTGCAACATGGGATTAGAAACTGCCTGATCACTAATGAGCCTTTCCATTTTTTGGACAACTGTCGCGAGTGGTCGAAAAACGCTCTATTTTTACCGACGGTTCGTTTACTTCTCAATTTGCGCCCACGAGCCGATGTGCCCATTTTGGGTTGGGCACATTGCGTGCGAGTCAGGGCCCGGTCGCACGCACCCGACGAGCTCGTGACCGGGGGACTCCGTTATTATCTGACCTCTCATGAGCAGCGGTAGCAGGTAATCATGCTGTTGATGTTGACTGTGCTGTCTAACGATCGTATGCTTTGTCTGTGTGTATGTGTTGCAGTGCGTTTCAAGTGATGTCGAGTAATTTCGAGTGGTATTAAGTCGTGACGAGTGATGTCGAGCGGTGCCAAGTGATGTCGAGTGATGTCAAGCGGTGTCGAGTGGTGTCAAGTCGTGTCGAGTGATGTCAAGTGGCGTCGAGTGGTTTCATGTGATGTCGAGTGATGTCGATCAATGTCAAGTGGCGTCGAGCGGCGTCGAGTGGTTTCAAGTGGTGTCGATCGGTGTCGAGTAGTTTTAAGTGATGTTGACTCGTATCGAGTAGTGTCGAGTGTGCTGGCCATGTCGACTGTGCAGTTTAATGATGGAAACATGCATGAATCGTGGTGTATCGAGCTAGCAAATTTTTGATAGGTTAATCAAACGATAATGTAATGAGCAAATTTATCTTTTTGAACTCGTGAAACATTAGTTTTTTCTATCAGATTGTTTATGAGAGTCGCTACATAGTCAATTCTGCAAGTCGAACTTATAACGTACGGCAGTTGAAAACAAAAATTTGATTTATGATTCATACTTAAAGATATTGTCGAACCTGTATGTAAATATGCATTCGATGGATGAGATGTTGCAAAGAGCCAGACACTGCACCTTCAATTCAGTACAAATGCAATGGATCCTTTTGCGTGGCACCCGAATAGAGTGGTTTTAGGCACCACGGTACTTGTAGATACTTGTAGCACTGGAATTAAGGAGCTCAACATGTTGCCCAAGTCAATTAGATGTGCAACAAATGCATCAATTCTTTCGTCAGCGGCATTCGAATGGCGGCGACATGTTTTATTATTTTGTCCCGCTTGCGTGCACGACCGGCACTTGTACGTAGGTCCAGGTTTTGTATCCCCTGAGCTGCCAATACGTCTTTTTTGTCGACGCGTAGCCTGCTTGTAGTACGGTGGTGGTCGACGCGTAGCCTGCTTGTAGTACGGAGCTTTTCATCCTTCGTACCTTGTGAAGAGCTTCAAGTAAGGCTTCGAGGGGAGGACTGTTGTAGTTATTGTCAGCACAAAACCCCTTTAGTAAATAAAACTTAGTAAATAAAACTGAAGAGGTTTTGTGCTGACAATAATGTGGTGAAGTCGATCTCACAAAATTGCTTGTATGAGAGTCGATCTTCCACTTGCCCAGACTTGCCGACTCACGGAGGGGGTACTCCGATCCGTGCCTTGTTGTATGACCTTGTGCTCACCTTGTGTACCCGTCGGTTGGGCTGGCTTGAGCTCTTCGTAACGGCATTGGGAGATGTCGATCTCGCTGAGAGGTTGGGTTGAGGGTTCGCTTCCGGTGCGGAAATTTTCACACCACGAACGGGAGTTCTGCGATCCCGATCTTGGATCGCACCGATCTTGATTTGTCTTCGAGATCGGGGTCTTTGCTGTGCGGAAATCTTCACTCAGCAAATAAAAGTCCTGCGTCGATCTTGCCTTGGGATCGGTCCGATCTGGTCTTGGGATCGGCCGATCTTGCCGGAAGTGCGCAATTTGGGTAGATCGGTGTCTTGTTTCGCCAAAATGAAACGTGCCGATCTGTCCAGGGGATCGCTTCGATCCTGCTCGGTCTTGTCTTGAACGCCTTGTCCAGATCTTCTGAACACTTGACCCGTCTCGCGATCCTGTGTCCAAAATCCTTTTCCTTTTCCGTTGTGTGCTGCTACCCTAGCAGTTGAGTTGAGTGTGAGTACTTGATCGATCCGGGCCAGATATCCCGGGATCGCTCTTCTCGATCTTGGCCAACAATCCAAGATCGGTCTTCTGTGTCCCTGTAACACGCGTGCCTTAACCCGCCGGGGAAGCCAAATCAATCTTGCCTGGAGAAGAGGGGAGGATAACGTGCGTCGTGAGCAGAAGAAGTAGAGTTCAAGTCTGTTTATTAACCAACCAAATTACTATCCAACCTACCCTTAAGCCTATTCTTAACTATAGGTAACTCTTCAAACCGATATCGCCTTGAATCGGGATCGCCCCCTTGCCACGTGTCGAAATTTCGTGCCCTGTACTCCAATGATAGCGCCAATATCCCCGATATCGTACCTAGAGCACCAAATGGACCAAAATCTCCTATATGGTACCAAATACCCATTCTTGGCACCCAAGTACCCAATATATGACCCAAAATGCCGAATGTGTCCCAATTCACTTTGCGACGTCAATTCGGACAGCTTCCACTGGCTCTTTCGGCATGGAACTTCTTGACATCACTTAGTGACCTCTATCAAGTATATTCCACATGATCCAGTATCTTCATCAACCATATATTCATGATCAGTGTGGAACATGACCGATCTGTCATCCAATATCGAGATGTTGGAGGTCGATCCGGTCTAAATCGGCAATTAACACTTTTTCATCTCCTCATAAGTGCTTCAATATTATCCTCCAGTGTTATCCAATCGACAACTTCATTCATACGTCTCGACATCGGTTTCCTTGACTCCCCTGAGTATGCAAAAACTTCCAGATCGGTGTATAATTAACCAAAATCAGTACTCCCAATTTAGGATCAGTAAAGAGTATCACCGATCCGTATGGTGTTGCACCTTCTTTGCCGATTCACCGACCCGTACCACCTGGTCCCAGATGCACTTTGGGGAGTCACCTTGTCCCAGATGTGTCAATTCTCCAACAAACCGTTGCCACAACATGTCGATCTGCGATCTGATCTTAGCCTGCTTCAATGTACGTATACTTCTTCTTGACCGGCATTCCAATGAGCTGTATGACTTCATCCCGATGTCTGGTTCCAGATCGCCCCATAACATTCTGCAAGATGTTACACCTTCGTCGCAGAGTCATATCCCATCACCCGGTCCCAGATCCTTGTCCCAGATTGTTCCATGTAAATCGTTCCAGATCGCTCCGTCCCAGGTCGACCCATACCCATTAGTCTAACGACAGTTGGATCGGTTCGCCGATCCCGTTAAGATCATCTTCCACCTCCGTATTGGATCGCCGAGTCTCATGGCCTCCTTTTCCACCAGTAAGCGGCGCTTTAAAGGTGTGGCCACCGATCCTCGTACAAAATTTGAGTAGTGACTTTGCCACAACCGCCCCCTGTACTGAAGTCTTTTGTACAGCAATTGACCTCAGTACAGTCACTCATCAACTTCGTTCCAAGCCCTCAAGTCCGTCTCATGGCCTCTCCGACGCATCCACCCACCTCGCCGATCTCATCAGAAGGACCCACCATGTTTCTGTCTCCGGATCGCGACCTGTCGCCCGGATCTCCCGATCTCGGAGGACACACCCCAGCGGTCCCCGATCGGCCTGGGTCTCCGCGCCATCTAGGCCCAACCGGATCGCCCACAAACCCCACAGGATCGCCAGATCGACAGCCGACCAGACCCTCGTCTCCATCCCGAGACTCGCCATCTAGATCGCCGGAACGCGGGTGGTATGCTCCTATCGTTCCAGATCAACATGAGTCTCTCAGTAATCCCAGATCGGTCGGATCGCTCTCGACCGACGCGGAATTATCAGATCGTTCTTCCGAGCCATTCCCGCTTCCCACTCCTCCGGCGGCCCCAGATGCGTCCAGATCCGACATCCCGGCCGCTAATGAATCTCGTGAAAGGTCTGCTCCAGCTGTGGGCGTCACCGGCTTCGTTCCCAGAGTTTCTGCCGACGACGTTCGTCTCACGATGGCCACGATCTCGTATTTGTGGGATCGAGAGGCTACCTTCTGCAGCCAAGCCGATACCATTCATGCGCTCCAGCAGTCCTACCGAGATGCCGTCGCCCGGGGGGATCGCTTACAAGACGAGCTTGATTCGCTGTACAGATCAGCCGCTCCTTTTGTCTCCTTCGTCCAGCGTCGATATGACTGGATGCAGGGCCGCTACGTCGACGCAGTGCATTCTTTGAGTGATTGCAATCGAGCTCTGCGGACATATCGAGATCAATCGGAGGAGATTCGTCGGCTACGCACTTTGATATGTGCCAACGACGAGGCTCAGGGGAACTTGGAACGACAGGTGGATGCTTTGAGGGCTCAGCTTCATTCGCTCCAAGCCGAACTCAATTCTCTCCGACAGCAGCGTGATCAGCTGACCATGGACAGGTCCTTCCTTCACATAGATTTTTAGCACTTGAAGGAGCAATTGGCTCAGTCTCAGGAGGAGATCGCAGATGGACTGTCTTCGATCAGCGATCTCATACAACAAGTGGATGGTTTGACTCCCCTAGAGGGTCAGTTGGCACTTTCGCAGGCGGAGAACGCCAACCTACGTCGTCAGCTTGCGGAACACCTCGAGGTACACGACCAGTTGCAGGTGGTGGAGCATGATCGGGATCAGGCTATAGCTGAACACCGTGCTCTCCTCGACACACTGAACAGTGCTATACTCGGATCCCGGTCGTCTGCGTTGACCGCTCGATCAACGCCTAAGAGTGCTACTCCGGCCGGATCGCCCCCTGCTCCCACTACCCCGGGATCGAGATCGCTTGCCCGTAGGTCCAGATCGAGATCGTCCGGCCCGCCTGCCAAGCGTCGGCGTATTCAACCAAGGTCACGATCCAGTGATTCTACTACCGCCCGTGTGGCTTCCCGGCTATTGTCGTTGAACCCTTTAATGCCTTTAAGCAAACTTCCCGGATTGATCCCACCCGAGCCTCCACCCAATTCTTCTTGTTCTCCGCTTTTGTCCGCGGCTTCTGGGACTGGATCGGGAAGTGAGGAGCTGACCGAGTCGGATTCTAGCTCGGATGATTTGACTCGTGCTGCATTATCCCAATCGAGATCGGCCGCTCGTCGTCAACCTAGATCGGATGCCCGATCTTCGACCCCGAACCCCTCTCCGGCCGCTCGGGTTGTTCCCGCTTCTCCCGCAGCTACTGCGTTGGCTCAAGCACTGTTGCGTTCGCCTTCTCCAGACGTTCCGGAGCCTCGTTATCTTTCGTACCCATCCACTCCGGTCGCGGCTGTCCCCGTAGTCGAAATTCAAGATAATGGCGGCGTAGAAGACGTGGAGGTATCGCCGACAGGGGAGACACACAGCGAGACTGGCTCTGTTAGTCCGCCTCCGGAGTCCACTGCGCTTTCGGATCGCCATTCGTCCGATAGCGAAAACAGCATCACCCTTCCGGCACGCCAAGTGGCTAACAGAGTTTTCTCTTCCGTTGACTTCGACAATCTTCCGCCACTCCAGCAACCACGGGATCGGTGGATTCCCAACTATCTGGCGCCCTCCCGACGGGTAGCTTCCGAGATCGCTCCATGGTCCGTTTCGCGGATCGCGATGGTTTGCGTGAGGACCATGACCATTGAGCTGTTGTTTCACCACTACTCCAAGCCCAGGAATTTTCTGTTTCCCTTCTACAATCATGGACGAGCTCCGCCTACGGGGACTTGGGCTTCTGGGCTGATCTCGCGGCAACACATCGAGGCTCTTTACGCTACAGCCCCTTGGGATAATATCATAGTCCCAGTGAACCCGATATCGTTCACCATGACTGGATGGTATCGTGATATGAGTCATCGGTACCTGGAGCTTGAGTCCACTCATCGACAAGCTCTGTGGGAATCCACTCATGCTTTCCCGATTCCTCCGGCTCAACGGCGATCTGAACGGTTCATGCAGACATTCTGGCGCCAACGAAAACAACGCCGTTCTCGCTTTGGAGCGCGTTGGAAGAACTTCTTGAAGATGATACTCAGCGGCATGATCGCTGGCCACTGCGATCTCGACATCTTGCTAGATCCCTTCTTCCTCCACTATCCGCGCCCACATGAAGACCGAGTTTGGTATCCAGGGTTAGGACACTCTAACGACCCAGCTGACTTGCTAGAGGCGTTGGACATGGCAGACCAAGAGGATCCTTGGCGCAACCAGTTCCGTAACGCCTATTGGGATCATCCCGGATCGCAGATCCCTCGTCTGCAGGACAAGTTCAAACCTGCTCCATCGTCTTAGTCCAAGATCGATATCCAAGCCCGATCGTCTTTCATAATCGTGTAAGTCATTCAATCATCTTCTTTTTGGTACTTCCATTCTTTGCAACTTCCACGATCTCGATCCTCATCGCTCCACATCATTCAGGAAGGTAATTCACTTGACTATCTCCATACTCACATACAAAAACCTCATCCACCAGCATGTGCTACCGTCTAGCACATCTTTCAACCCCTACATCCGCATATGCTACCTCCCGCATACTTGTTCGAACTGTTAAGGTTCGTCCGACTTGCCTTCATGAGACTGCATTACGTCGAAACGGTTTCGACTCACTCGGTTCCGCTCAAACTCTTGCAAGATCGCCCCACAACTTAGATCGGCCTCGTCCACCCAACTTAGATCGGGATATCCCTTCCACTTCACCAGAAACTGCCGGTGTACTCGCCCATAACGGGTTTTTCTACCAGATCGCACGTCCAATATTGCCTCTACTTCGTATTCCCCTTCTTCAAGATCGCCATCCCAACTGTCTTCTGGCAGCAGAGCTTCATCGAAATCCAAGCGATCTGATTCCTCTATCGTAAGCTGATCCTTCGGGCGTTCAGGGAACGTCTTTACCTTTTTTAGCTTCGATATATGTACAATCGGAAATAACCGATATGGGGTTCCAGCGATCTCCAATTTTACAGCATGATCTCCACATACGTCCGCAACTCGGAATGGCCCATGCCACATGTGCGCTAGCTTCTTCGCATATCCCTCTTTAACTCGGTCCAGGTATAGCCAAACTTGCGCTCCTACTTCGATCTCGTGTGGTTCCAGATCTTCGTTGTGTCGATCCGCTCGCTCCTGGATCGCGGCTTGTAAACGATCGTTCACTGCAGATCGGGCTCGCTGGTATTGTCTTTGGATTTTGTATCTCCACCTCTTTGGATCGCGATCTCGTGTCCCCGTATTCCCCACTGGTAGCGTAGCCTCCAAAGTCGATCGCGGGTCCCACCCATGAATCAGATAAAATGGGGTATCCCCCGGATCCGATCTTGTGCAGTGTTAATGGCAAATGTGAGCCGCTCAGCATACTCATCCCAGTCTCGCTGGTCAACTTCAGCCACGTACATCTTGAGCGAATGTGTCAGGGTTTGCACCATTCGTTCGGCTGTTCCATTTGCTTGTGGCCTGTAAGCCATAGTAGCACGCTGTTTTTGTCCTACGATCCGACTGAAGGCTCGAAAGAAGTCGGACATAAATCCCGGTTCTCGATCGTGCCTGATAGCCTCGCTAGCTCCGAAGCGTCGAAACACACATTCTTCGTAATTCTCCGCTATTGTTTGTGCCGTCCGAGAGGAGCTAGCCTTTGCAATCACATATCCCGAGAAGAGGTCGACCCAAATGAGCAGTTCGGTGTTCCCCTTGATGGACTTGGGCAACGACGGTATATGATCCATGGCGATGATCTGGAATGGATAGGTTGCGTGTAGATTGCCCGGGGATTTCCCATGAATCATCGGGTTTCCTTTCCCGGTCTCACAGTCGGTACATTCGCCCACATATCGTTGAACGCTCCGATACAGTCCTCTCCAATGAAATCGCGATCTGATCCTCTGATAGGTTCGGCCAATACCCTGATGGCCTCCTTCCAGACTCGTGTGATAGTGATGCAAAAATCCTGCTGCAACGTCTCAGGGATCACCAACCGCATCAAACCATCGCGATCTTCTGACTCTCTTTTCGCCATGGGGCAAAAAAATAGCAGATTGTTCTCATCGATCTCGTATTCCGGCGCCAGTTTGGCGCACATCTTCACTTCTACCGCATCCAAGTTTGATACATCGCCACTTAGATATGTCTTGAGATTGACAATCCAACGCTCTTCATCTTGAGCTTGGACAATTCGTTGAATCCTGATCCTCTGTACTATCTCCTCCTGTATCACTTCAGGTTCATGACGTATCCTCCTGGCTGATCTCGCGATCGCAGTTACCCGAGCTAGCTGACCATCTTGCTTGGGCTTCAACAATTCATCGAGACGGTTCAGAGTCATCAGATCTTGCCGATCCTCTTCAGCTACAACCGTTCTTCCCTTTTCGCTCTGCAATGCTGTGCTGGCTAGTCGATCTGCGCTCTGATTCCACTCTCGCTTCATATGCAGAAACTCGTGACTAGGCCATGACCGCAGCTTCTCCAACGCTTTGTGTCTCAGAAGCTGAAGGCCCGGTGCCTTGCAGTCGATCTCACCGCGCATCTGTCGAATCACCAGACTGGAATCTCCACACAGTATTACTCGCCCCCTATCCAGATCGGCGAGTAACTCAAAGCACAGTAGCAAGCCATTATACTCAGCTTCATTCACAGTCAGATCGTGAACATATCTCGATTCGGCCGCCACGATCGTCCATTCGGGTAACTTCCATATCACGGCACTGAACGACCCTCCTTTCTTTTTTATCCTAGCCGATCCATCGAAACTGGCCACCAGCAACTCCTCATCTGTTTCCACCGTTGGAGGAGGCATCGATATTTTGAGTCGACAGTCTTTTCGTGGGGAGATCGCAATCAGCATCTCTTCCACTTCTCCTCTCGGAGTGATACTCGCTGCTAACATGCCCAGGATCTCTTCCTCTCCTCTTTCACATTTCTTCACCTCCATAGTCCAATTTGACAACAAAGCAGCCCACCGTCCTAATCTCCCGTTGAGCCCTCGAGACTGCATCAACCAGGCTAACGTAGAATGTCGGGTCAGTACAGTGATCTCCCCGCGAGGCAAGCGTAGTATAGCATACATCCAACACACGAAGTAGCGCCAGCACTTCTTTTCTACCGTTCCGTAGTTAAGCTCATTAGGCTTTAAAGTGCGGCTAGTAAACGTCACCGGATGGTACACGCCATCGTACTCCTGTATCAGGGCCGCTGAGACAGCCCACTTGCTAGCGTAGACCACGATTACGGGGGACCGATCTGGGTCGAAATGCTTGAGCATGGGAGCTGTAGCTATCTTAGCTTTTAGCATAGTGAAAGCAACCTTGGCTTCCGTCCATCGACCCTCGTTGGAGCATTCGTCTCCTGCTGCAAGCTGAGATCGGCCGATCTCGAAGAAATCCGATTCTCTTAACTCATACAACACCGCGGCATACACCGCGAAATCCTCAATGAAGCGACGGTAGTAGTTCAAGCTCCCGAGAAAGGATTGCATAGCTCGTAGCGTGCTAGGAAACGGGATGTTAACCAACGACTCTAGGTTCTTGGGCTGAGCCTCCAGACCATCCATCGACACTCGATGTCCCAAATAATCGACCTTACGGCACCCCCAAAAGCTCTTCGTGAGGCTGATAGACAGATTCCACTTATCACATGCCTCCAGCAACCGTTCTACTTTTGTGTACAAAGATCCCCATGACGTGGCTGGTATGAGAATATCGTCAATGTAAGATCGGCGTCCCAGTATAGACGGTCGTCGATCTGTCTCAGGTTCTCCATCTTTGAACACGTCGATCGGGCCATCAGAAGCTGATCTCTGGCCGATCTTGAGATATCCATACAACGCATTGTCCACCAGACGTTGGTAGATCTGGGGCGCGTTCTTAAGCCCAAAAGGCATTCGCAGCCACTCGAACAAGCCAAACGGTGTGACAAACGCTGAGATCAGTTTTGCTCGTTCAGTCATTTCGACGACCCAAAATCCACTAGCCATGTCTAGCGAACGGTACCATAGAGCTTTATCCAGATCTTCCAACAGATCGCTGATCAACGGCATGGGATAAACCATCAGACGCGTCAGCTGGTTCACTCTTCGATAATCAATGCAAAGGCGAATATCCACTCCGTTCTTCTTGATGATCACCACTATCGGAGACGCCCAAGGTGACGTGGATGGCTGAACGATTTTGGCTGCTAATAGTCCTTTGATGAGATCTGACAGCTTCTCCCGATATTTGGGTGCGACCGGACGCACTCTTTGCGCTATCGGTGCTGCCCCACCGACATCAATATCACAGATCGCGCCTCGTGCTGCTGGTGGTAGAGCATTACCTTTACCCATGAGGAGGTGACGGCTCTTCCAGATCAGCGATCTGAGCCGTTGTTGATCTGTGGTGAGAGGCACGTCGGGATCACCGATCTGAATGTCCTCAATCGTAACTTCTTCCGTAGTCGCCGACATCTCTGGTAGCACGGCCATATGCTGCTCGATGTCTTCCGCAAACAATTCTCCGCTCTCGTGGTGATAAACTGGTATTTCTGCAATCTCGACGTCTTCAGTATTTAGCATTATTTCTTCTTTAGGCTCCTTCGTCTCTTCCGGCTGGCCCAATTTCAACAGTCCTGGTCAGTCGGCTCAGCCTTCGGTAGAGACGATCTGTCACGTAGCCCTTCTTGACCGGTGTCGCGGTCTCCCTTCGTTGCATGTTGGGTACCGATCTCATGACCGTTCTCCATCCGCGATAGTTCGGCTCCCCTGACCGTTACTTCCCTCGCAACTACAGCATCTGCCTTTTGCGAGTCGTCGTCGTTAGCTTGCGGCGTTACCGTGGAGATCGCTGGAGACAGGTCCTGTAACGCATCAGACGGACGTTTCATGATGCGTTTGGGAGCGGCATACGTAGGGCGATCTACCAATGGTCCAATCTGTTCTTTCGGGAGTTCGTTCACTCGATCCGTCGTAGCCTCATATGCCAGAGTTTGCCACTCCTTGTACTCCCCCGATCCGACCGTCACAAAACCTTGAGTTCGTGGTACCATATCGCCTTCGACCCACATGCCTAATATAGTGTGTGTGGGCAGTATGATCTCACGGTCGCCAATGTTGGTCATCTGCAGGTATTTCGTCTTACCCCACCCCGAGATCACAGTGGGGACCCAATCTAGTCCTCTAGCGACCCACAACTTCATCTTAGCCCCTCCGATCCCGATCTTCACTTCCCTTGACTCTCCAACCGGGATCACCACGTGTTGGTCCTTCGCCGTTATATGTTGTATCTTCGATCCGTACGCGGGGCGACGTCCTGCGAGATGAATGCGGATTTCTTCTGGTAGACATAGCGCGCCATCCGCTAGATCGAGCCGCACTCCAGCAGGCACCATAAAATCCATACCCAGAATCGCTTCTTGCCCTGCCAGATCGCCTACCCATACATTGAAATAGTATACCAACGATCCCGCTAGGGTCACCTTGATCTTGGTGCGTCCTACCGTCATGTACGGAGTTTCTCCAATCCCGATACATTCTTGTCGTTGACTTTCGTCAATATTGCAACCGACCTCACGAGCAAAGGTGGTGTCAATGATCGACACTTCAGCACCAGAATCAAATAACAGAGTAGCTTTTACGTTGTTGATCTTGCCAACGGCTTTCGCTTGTTTGAACCACTTCCCGGGTGAATAATGTTTCCAGTATCCGCGAGATTCACCCTAAGCGAGATCGATCTCCATAGCTGGTTCAGATCGTGAGTACTCATCGATCCGCTTCAGATGGGACACGAAAGCGACACGTTTTAACTTCGAACGAGATATATTTGTTTCCATATCTGTATCCTGCTTACTCTCGCGATATGTCTTCTTTTTTTCACGTATGCAATGATGCAGAGCCCAGAACGCTTGGCTCGTACCAGATTCAAACCTGGCGAGCGTCCTAGTTTAACATCTTCTCGGCCTTCTCTGGTAGCATCCTCGCATGCTTATTCGGGACGTACCACTGACGGATCATGTTGTAGAACTCCTCCATGGGACACTTCCCCGGGTCGTGAATCTCACCGCAAGCACGACACACGAAAAAACAATTGTCAGAGGGGTGTCCTTTACGCCCACACTTCTGGCAAGTGAGCCGCTTCCAGCAACCGAGATCTCCATGCTTGGTCGATCCGCAATGAGTACACGGCTTCAATGGCATATTGCGATCTTGATAGTCTTGACGAGTTTTCGGGTCGACCGATCTCGCGTTTGCTGCAACGTCATTAGGAGATGAACGCCGATCCGTGGTAGCAGCCACATGGATCGATCTCAATCGATCTTCCAAATCCGATCCGCAGGTGTCCGATCCTGACTCGCTGCAGACGTCCTCGGTACGGACCATCCTTACCGCTCGTGCAGGCTTAGACAGCGCTGGACCCTGAGTTCCCTTCTGCCTGAATTTGGACGATCCCATCATCACTTTCCCTTGACGCGATCTCCCTTGTTGATATCCGTGCAGTGTCTTTTGCATGGCCTCCGCGTCTTCTACATTCAGCAGTAGCAATTGATTGGACAGATCGGGGTCGTCCAAGGTGTCAATGGAATGGTTGACATGTTTCTTGCGCGCAGCTGGCAATCCAGTCATCACCGGTATCTTCGCCTGCATTCCCATCACATTAAGCCGATACAGGTACTGTAAAGGATCTTCCTCCGATCGTTTCTTTGCATGGTAGTACTGCCTGCTCGCGGACATCCCGTGTCCCGCATACTCCACAAGAAAACT